ACACGGGAGGCGGGGGACTTCAGAAAATCCAAGGAGCCCTGGTGACATAGTGGGCCACATGTTGGGCTGCTAACTGTGAGGTCAGCAATTCAAAACCATTCACCAACCACTCCCTGTGAGAAAGATGAGGCGTTCTAGTCCCCTGAAGATGTGCAGTCTTGGAGACCCACATAGTCCACAGAGGGTCACTGTGAGTCAGAATTGACTCAGGGCAGTAGGTTTTTGGTTAAAAAAAATCCAGGGAAAGATGGAATGAAAAGATAATGGAATGTATCCACAAACTTTGTGAAGCCCTCTCCTATAGTAATTGTTACATGGGTGTAACATGATGTTTTCTGGAAATGCGGTCATATATACTAATACATGTATTTGCTTTTAGATTTCCTCAAGAACTGAATATGGGGAAAGTGAGTGCTGAAATAATGTGGACCCTTTTTGCTCTGGACATGAAATACGCACTGGAAGGTAATTATAAATACGAATGTCATTAGAATATATGTTGTGATATTTGCATTCTTGGTTTTAAATGTGAAGAAGGGAAACATTAAAATGTTGATTATTATGATCATTAATAGTATAAAGATCAGAGGAAATTTATTTGCCGCCTTTTAGGAAGATAAAGGCCTTATGAACTTAAATGACTTTTAAAGTATATATATATGGGTGTCTAATCAGTAGTCTAAGCTGCAGGATCATGAGTACTTCATGAAGGATAATGCTCAGATATAAATATTGTACAGAAGCACAATAACCAAAAGGGACTCTTTTGAGGAGTGGAAAATTGTGTTTGTATTTGTCTAGAAGGTATTTGTCTGTATAGACTTAGAAATGGTATCCATGACTAGGCAGGTTAGAAATCTGACTCAAGGTAAAGAATGCACAAATGTGCTTTATACAATTGATGTATGTATGGGTTGTGATAAGAGTTGTATGAGCCGCCAGCAAAATGATTAAAAAGAAAGAGATGGGAAAACCAAAAAAAAGAAATCTTGCTCAAAAGTCTTGATTCAAACTTGCTCAGGGACAATGGCACGGCTTTTCACAAGAGACTTGCCTCTGGAGAATACCACATCATAAACAGTGCAACAAGGGAAACACAGTTCTCAGCTCAATAGTTCTGGAGCTGTTCTTTGAGCATGGATGGAGTTGGGAATAGAACTATAAACTAACTTAATTGTATTCTTGTCCTCTAGGAAATTAGGGGTTTTTTTCCAACAATAGTTATTCAACAAATATGTATTGAGCCCATAATGCATGGAATGTAGCTGTACTATGTAATTTATGTTAAGAAATGTAAATCTCAATTTAATTGAAATTAGGAATGCTACAGGTATAGCAAGCATCTATAACTTTCATCAAATGCTTACTGATAATAGTGTCCATATAATAATAAAAACAATATTACCAAATGCTAAGACTGATGAAGTAGTACTTAATGGTCTTGTGATAAACTTAACTTTTTTGACAATACTCAAGTTTTGTTACATTTTTCTTAATGGCAGCTTTAACGGGATATATCAATACCATACAGCATACCTAGTTTAAGTGTACCATCCCACAGGATGTATAATCGCATTTTCAGAAAAGTATAATGAATAGAGCGAGGCAGTAACTTGGACTGTAGTGCACAGTTGATGAATCTTCTACATCTGAGGCTATTTGTGAGTGGTTTTGTCATTTTTGTATCTACTACACCTCAGTTAGAAACTCTGTTATGTGTTTGTTTACTTGAGTAAAACTGCATATTGAACAACCCTGGACAAAGATTGTGGAGACAAATCCCACTGCACGTGTCAAAACTGAACATTTGTAGTATTGCAGTGTTGGGAAGCAGCAAAGGTCTGGGGCTGTAGGGAACGCAATTCAAGGAGCTTTATCACTTACTAGCTCTGCAACCTTGGGCAGCTCATTCATCACTTCACAGGTTTGTCTTCGTATCTCTAGAATGGTACTAACAGCTCCTCAGCTGGTCTGAGGAAGAAAAACCATAAGTGTACTATGCAAACTGTAAAATTGCTATGCTAATATGAGGGACCAGTTATTATGTAAAGAAAGAACAATCATAAATGTCTCAAAAGTCTTCTTTAGGGATTAATCTAATATCTAAATACCTAGGAGAAAATTCACAAGTCCATGTTACTCTAGTCACTACCCTTTCACTTTTACCATTTCAATCTAGTAGGTGAACATTAAAAAATGGGACCGTTTTTTCCTGTACCATAGCATCAGTAGTAATTATTAAAGGACAATGGGAGGGGGACATAGACTTAACGGGTGTATTCCTTTGGCACTTTTTGTACATTGATAGTAAGTTCTTACTCTCCCTACTTGCCTCATAGACAATGCTGTTAAAATTAATTGACTGTGGAGTAGTGCTCCAGGCTGCTGACCTAGAAAGGCAGTGTTGTTATTAGATAATTTGAGCTACATAGTTCGTCTTGTGATAAAAGCATCTAAGCCCAACTGCTAAGCAACCTCTGATGAAGTTGGTTCAACTGAGGAGAGATGGGTAGAATTCATGGACTTTTGTACCTTTTTGCTTTCTTTCATGAACTCATCCACTGCTCAAAAGAAATAATGTAATTAAAAATCATTTCCCTTCCCATTTTATTCAGCCTATATGAGCTTACTTATTTTGTTTTCACATATGACATTCATCACTTAGAGATTTGATCAGTAGGAATTGATTCAATCACTATAAAGATAAGCTTCTTAAAGAAAATCAGAGTACATTTACTCACAAATTTAAAAGAATATTTTCTGTGAAAATGAGAATGTAGAAAGAAATAGACTCAGATGAAATGGTTCATAATGTATTTCAGCTGGTTTTATAGATTTTATATTTATCATCTTGGTATAGCCACTGAAATCGGTTTCCTGATGGTTCCTGAAACGTGAAAGGCACCAGATGTGTAACATATGTCTGTGTCTAGGCCCCAAGACAGCAGCCAGAAGGTAGTTTGGGTCCACAAGGATGCAGGTGATTTGTAATTGATAGCTCCTGTAAAAGAGATCTTGGCTTCTTTAAAGCCCTCGTTCTCATTTGGGTTCATGGCTGGACTTCAAGTCCCCTTCTGAAATTGCACCTACCTCTGAGGATGCTAGGACGGGTTGGAGGTCTGATTCATCGGTCAAGCTCTCACATGTATGCTTGAGGAGAACACTATTAAGAGTCACTGAAAATTAATTCAAAATGGCTATTTTGGTTAATTAACTTAGAAAAAGAATTAATTATGATATGTAAAACATACTTTGGATCTCGATTGCCAACCATCTTTCATCTGACATTAGGAAAAGCTTCTAGTTTAGTGTTCTTCTATCTTAAATATACCAGTGACTCACCTGGACACCCGGTTAAAATGCAGACTGACTTAGGAGACCTCAGTCGGGGTGGAGGAGGTCCCACACTGCTGATTGATGGACCACAAAATTCCAAGTTGACTGTCAAATTCCCGCTTCAACACCACAGGTCCAGACAGGTCTATATGCAATCCCCAATCTTTGTTGTGTACCACTTAGATACCATTAAATGTAGATTCTGAGACCCCCCAAGTGGCTTTGCAAATTGACAGCCCCTCACCTTTTGAATAGGCACCACTAACATTCTAACAAGCGCCACAAAGTAACCATTGGTAACTTGGTCTTCATCGTATCCATGCATTTCTCTTAGGATTATTTGCATAACGAGGAATTTTTTGGCCGTGCTTTCCCTTCATGCTTACGTTTTGGAATTTCTTTTAAAAACAGTTGCGCATCTCTCACTCTTTCCTTTCTCTGATATTTAACAGCGAATATGTACACGAATAAAGGCTTATGTTAGGAAACCAGCAAAAGCATAGCTAACTCTCCATTTCCAGGCATAAAACCTTTCCCAATATGGTCACGATAATTATTTTTACCGCATTATTCTAGTCGTGCCAGAAATGATGTAATAATCATAAAACCCATCGCCATTGAGTTGATTCTGACTCAATAACCCAACAAAGGGTTGTGAGACTTCAAATCTCAAGGAGCCCAGACAGTCATCTTTTCCCGAGGAGTAGCTGGTGGGTTTGAACCACCAATCTGTGGTTAGTGGCCCCATAGCTAATGCCCAGCCACACTCTGTCTCCTAGAAATCTCAGAGGAGGTGGAAATTTGAAAATAACCCACAGAACCACTATGTCCATGAATGTATATATGGATCTTACATAGATTGTTAGAGAAGATACTGGGTTCCCTGTAAGGTACAAGCT